AGCGGGAGGTGCCCCTGGCTCTCAGTCCCCTCCCCGGCCTCACAGAAAGCCCTTCCCCGCCTGACAGTACCCTCCGCCGCAGCGCCGAGCTCTCCGCCGAGGAGCCTGCTGCAGCGTGTGCTGCATGCGCCCTGGGGCTGGCAGGGGGGCTACTTCACAGTGGTTTTTTTTTTTTTTTTTAAATGCCTTCCTTAAACTTTCTCTGTGTTATGTAGGACAGCAGGGGGAGCAGGGACTGGCACACCTATGCGTTAGGCAGGGTCTCAGCTGGATCCTAAGGCTGGGCCAGGGCAGGGGGGAGGCAACACTGGCCTAGTCCTCACCCCAGGGAGGCACCACAGCTATGACAATCATCAGGACTAAGGGTTTACAGGCCTTGAATGCCTGCAAGGTGGTACCTAGCCCTGCCATGCTGCATCCTCCGCATTTGCCTCCAGGGTCAGGGCTGGAGCTGCTCAGCGCCACCAGAGGCCACCAGCCACAAGGCATCTCCTGGTAGCAGGCAGCTGCATAATGCAACCTGCAGCAGGTGCTTGGCCACCTCTGGCCTGTGCAGGGACCACTGCCAGAGCTATGCAGGGGCCCAGGCAAAAGGCTGCAGCAAAGGGGAGGGGAAGGTGGGCTTCTATACAGCTAGAGAGCCACCCAAACCTGCAGATAAAGCACTGTACTCTACTCCTCCCATACCCTGGTGCATATCAGTAAATGAGACCCATGCACTGTCACCGTTAAAGACATGCTGCATCCACTTTGTCACAAACACCCCCTTCTGCAAGGGCTCATGGCTGCCATGTATATTCTTGCTAGACCCAGCTTGTAGACTAGGGTAAGGCCTCTTTCTAAGCCAGAGCACTAATTGCTTCTTGCTGTAATTAAGCTGCTAAATGCCACCAGCTCAGTATCACATGCACAAGCTCAATGGGGAAGGGAAGGGAAATGGATGTATAACTTATAAATGCCTTTAAGCCAGAAATGTAAAACATTAACTGCTAATTTGTATACATTATTTTTATATATTGAGGGCCTGTTTAATCTACAGCAGAACTGATAATAAACCAACCCCAAGGATAAAGCATGTGTCTGTGAGAAGTGAGGCTTTGGATTCAGGTCTACGCTGTGAGTGAGCCCCTGTGTGCTGGGACCACTCAGTCTACATACTGCCGTAGCTGGCTGCACGCATGAGCTGCTGTTTGTTGCTTAGCTAGCAAGGCACATAAAGGGCCTGTATGAAGACTGGAGAAAAAGCTGGATTAGCAGCATGCAGTAAGCATGCTCCTTTAAATAGTAACAAGTGGCAAGCTTGTTTTCTTCAACTTGCCCACAATTGCAGCTGATGGTAGGGTAACCTCAAAGTGATGCTCAGCCCTGCAGCTCATCCCATGACTGACAGCCTCAGGGGCGGGGGGGGAGGGGGAGAGAGGGGATGGATCTAATGGATGAAAACATGAAATAAGAGTACCACAAAAGAAGGGAAAAGCCAGGACTTGTGGCTCTTCCAGGGTGCAGTCCCACTTTTCAGGACACAAGTGTTCCCGAGAAGAAGGCTGGCAGACCCAGGGCAACCACACAGACACTTATCCATCTTGGGAAGGCTAGCTGGGGGAGGAGGGTCCAGCTTTTGCCACTCACAATGCAGAGTGAGCAGACTGGCTTGGGGAGAGGCAGCAGGCTAGGTCTAGCGCAAAGGCTCAGCGTGAGCCGTTTTACACTGCTATGCAGACAGGTAGCCCTCTAGGACCAGAGGTGGTCTCGTACCTCCTTAAGCTGATCTGTATCCTTACAGCAAGGATTAGTGAACCTTAACAGCAACCAAAACACCCACCTTTTGCGTAGGCAGCTGAGCTGATATCTGTATTCACAATAAAAACATACCTACATGACAGCAAAACAGCCTCCCTGGCCCTGCAACTTGAAATTGGGGTTTACATTTCAGACAACTGATTTCACTCACTCAGTAGCAGTGTCATGAGTACACCTCTAGCCCCTTGCACTGATTGATTTAGTGGAAACATGTCATGTGAGTGGACAGATGGACAGTTGGACAGTTTCTGCCCAACAGTGAACAGAAGCACTTGTTGAAATATCTGGGTGAATCTCCAGAGCGCTATCTGCTTAATCTTGTGCTTCTGTATCAGAGTCTTACTTTTCTTGCTATCAAGGAGAAGACTCATCAGCTCCCAATACAGGGAATCCCCTGGCCCGGAGTGTAGTGAATAGTGCAGTGAATAGCATTCCCTGCATTCATTTATCAGTCATTTATCAGCGAAATCTGGTCCTAGTCAAAAACGTGCAGGAGACATCTACCCAGGACAGCTGGAAACCAGGGAGGTAGTTCACTGACAAAACTACAGTTGCAATACAGTGCAGGAACCGAGGCAAATTCAGATAATGCAAAGAGCCATGGTTTCTGCAAATCAGCCTGTTTTCTCAGATGGGCAGTTGTGTGCATGCTGACTTTCTCCTGACAGCTGTGAACAAGCTTTTAAGTCTCATATCCCCCCTGTAACTACCCTGGTGCTTAAGCACACACCCAAGGATACTCGCATGAAGCAAGACAGGGACAGGAGGAAGAAAAGGGACAACTAGGACATTTCATGGGAAGTATAGAGGGATGCCAACAGCTTTAACAAATTCTGTGCTCAGATCTGTCAAAGGTACTGCTGTCTCTTCATACCTGCAAATGACTTCTTGCCCCCAAAGGCTACAATATCACATAGCAGACATTTCACTGTTCTCCAGGACAATATATCAAACTATCGGCAATGAGAATGAAGAAACATTCCCTCCCCCACTTTTATTTTTTTTGTGAAAACGCAAGTTGAAACGTTAATTTCAAGAAATCACAGCTTTATAAAGTGTCATTCATTCAATACAAGCCAGTCATTCCACTGCCTTCCCCCACACCAGTACTGCCCATCCCAAAGAGATTATCAGCTTCATATTGCTTTGCCAACAGCAATGTGATTTTCCCAAAGACTTTAGGAAGCAGCTATATGACCAGAGCCATCTATATTGTCACTATTACTGCTATTTATCCTCCCTATCTTGAACTGTGGTTCTGTCCTAAAGACTAATTAAGCTATTACACACAGATTCAATCAAATTTTAACGTGAGTAATAAAAAGCTTCCTTGACTTTCTTTTCTGTCCATATTGCACAGCCAGCCTTTATCTGGAAGCTGGAATTTTTCTGCCTGTCACAGCAAAAATGACCGGCCAAATTAACAGGAAACTGTCCTGGCAACAGGAGAGAGTCAAGGAGATGCCAAGCTGATAGATGGAAAAAACATTAAGAACCCTAGAGATACTTCTGAGAGCAGAACCACATTTCAGGACAGTATGAAAGCACCAGTGGTTTGTGGTATCACTTAAAGCATCTTTCCCATCTAACAGGGACAGCTGCCACCACAGCCTGTTTGTCTGACCCTCACGTAACTGATTGTAACATGGAAATTTGCAGCCTCGCTTTCTCAGTTGAGAGGGCAGCAAAATACAAGTGAGGTTTTTGGATGAAACAAACAGGATGGAGATACCGGCTAATGCTGGTGTGAGACTACAGGAGAACATAAACACCTCCATCTACTGGATGAAGACATTCTGGATTCACAAGGGTTTACCACCTTTTAGCCATTCATGTAGGTGGCTAGAGACCAGCGTTAATGCTATAAATGAAGTGCAAGGCTCAGAGGTCCTGCAAACAGAGGGTTGCTGCAGTCTGTCCTACTGCTTGGCAGAACTTGAGTCAAATACCATCAAGGTATAGACAGATGTGGAAGTCACAAAAACAGATACTGCAAGGTCAGCAGCATCTCACCTATACAGTGAAGCATTTTAGAGTGAACAGCGAAAGCCACAAGCTGCACCCTTTGGGAGGGGAATAGGCTGTTCTTTCATATTGACACATTGCTAGCAGTTATTTTGCCAGACTTTTCTTAAGAACAACTAACAAGTTTTCTCCTCCCCCTCAGAGAGAGCCTGGGAAGGTGCTAGGCACAGGAAGTTTGGTTGCTGCCCTAAACATTAGTTTGGGAGCTGCAGACAGGTGTTTCAATCCCTTCTACTCCAGAGTCTGCAATTCTGTGTACTTTATGGCATCTGAAAGAGAGATTGTGCCAACCTTCCCATTTCCCCCTACTCTTTCCTGGAAGAGATGTGCGTAACATATTAACTGTTTACTAAAAAGACCCTTAATATGGCTGCATTTCAGCTATTAGGTACCTATTTTGGACAACATATTAAGTGATTTAGAACAAAAAGTGCTATAAAAACTACACCCACAGTGGTGACAGGTTTTTTCAAGAGTTCCACTTTTTTCTTGCATCCCAAATTCAGTTTTCTGATTAAGGATGCCACCACCGAGGATACCAAGAAACAGCCAACGTTCTGGAGACCAAAGGGAAAGAACATCAGTTGCTTAGCAAACTTGAGTCCTCAAAATGGGAGACCCAGAGACATTTTTTCAGCTTATTCAGCTGTTTTGTAGCTGAATTTCACTCCATGGACCAGCATGGATCCAGAAGGGCCCATCTTGCTTTTTGGGAGCCATTTCTCTATTCATCCCCCACTCAGTGGCCACTGTACTTACAGCATTCTGGAAAACACAGTCAAGCGACTGTCAAACTGACTTCCAGACATGTAAGGACTTAGTGCAGTCCTGAACAAGTACAGTCATAGCTTATTGCTCCCTCTGGTTTTGTTATAGAAGGACTAGCTGGATTTGGACGTCTGGACGTCTGGATTTGACCCATACAATTTCAGTGTGCTCCAAATGATTCGCAAACCCATATAAAACTCACCAAAGCTTAAGGCATTATGGGCCCAGCTGTCCATACCACTCCTTTAACATATTTTGACACAGAGGAAGGAGTACAAAGTGTAGTGCCTGTTTGTCAGTGTTGCTGAAGACAGGTTGAACTAAAACACCATGCAGAACTGGGCCACCTGAGCCACAGGCACGTTCCCTCTTGCCAAGCCTGCGGCAGGGCAATAATCTCCAGCAGATAGGCCGGATGGCTGGCTAGATTGATAGCTGGAAGTGAGTTTTTTGTTTTGTTTTTTTAAAACGTGCCAGCAAAATTCAGACCTTGTCTGAGCTTATAGAGCTGCTGTTTCTTCTCCCTCCAGGGGGAGCTGAATGGACGGTACAGCTCCAGTGAAGTCACAGTAAGGCAGCAGCAGCGGTGGAAGCAGAACGAAGGAATACAATCCTCCTACTCTACCCACCAAGGAACACAATCCTCTTACCCTTCCTGCCAGACTGTTTTACTCCTTTGTCGGTAGCAACACCAGAGAGGGAAGCGTCAGCTCCTAAATCAGGGAGGAGATATGAAGATGAGAGCTGCAAGCAAAGCTCTTTCTGGGAACAAAGCTCTTTTCTGATTCAAGAAGGAAGCATCTGTAGGGAAGGGTGGGAGGTGAAACAGAGAACCCATCTAGCTACTGCTTTCAGTTTTCCCCATGCAAAAGGCTGGAGGTAGAGATGATGCTACTCAAAACCTACAGAAGCATTAAGTTTTTCCTCCAGCAAGAAGAAAGTTAGCCAGCTCCCCTCGGCACAAACAACTACAGCTACACTGAAGATACTCAACCACCTCCTTCTAGCAGTCCGGTCACTATTGGCTTCCATTCATCTCAGAGGCTGAGCAACAGGTGTTCCCATCCAACCCCAGTACTCTCCTGGAAAGCACAATCACAGTCCTCTGCAAAGCAGGGATTTCCACCCACCATTTTCAAGCTCAATCTAACACTCATACCCAAAACAAACAATTCCCACTGTTCCGGGGAACATCGAAGCTCAGGACATATCTTGGAACTGGATCAGGATAGACAACAAGAACGGAGGCCCCAGAGCAGTGAGCCGCTGAACTGCTATCCTACTTCAGCACAAAACACCAGCAACTGCACTTGGTGCTTGATGGCAGAGGTGGTCGGAAGCTTTTGCAATTCCTTATTTCAACAAGCTGAAAACCTCCAAAGCAGAAATAGCCTCACGGCCTGTTCTCCAGTTGCCCATGCTTGACTCTCCACGTCCAGCTGATGCTGCAGTCAGGGGCGAGGGTGCACTGCAACTCAATACCAGAGTCAGGGACCTCCATGTCGTAGTGAACTGGTTGGCCTTCTTTTGTCACCAAACTGAAAGCAGGGACTGGTATCTGTGAAGCAGAACAGAACTGAGTGGCGCTTCAAGTCTCCTTCAGCACATAATAGAACATCCTGCTAGCAAACAGCCTGACTGGCAAATAGCTCCTAACCCGTGAAAAGCTCCAGGAGAGAGGCTCATGCCTGGCAGAAACATGCTAACTTTCTCCGATAAGAAAATATCTCAGAAACTGGACCAGCTAGCATTCACTCTGCTGCTGAACTACCTCACCCAGGTTTTTGGCCATCACTGGTGGTTCTTGAGCTGCAGTGGCTGTGTTTGGGCGCTGTGGATTCCTCTGTGGGCTAATGATAGTTCGCTTTGTGACCTCCAAGAGAATGATATATGCCCAAAGAGAACCAACACCAATAAAACATTCTGGACTTCTGCAACCTCTTTATTTAGAGAGGATCACCACATTTTACAGTCACATCAGTCTTGGTCCCACAAACAGTGATAGTTTCTTTGAGGAATTGCCAAAGAGGCCCACAATGAGGTTCAGTGGCGTATGCCAATATCTCCTCCGACCTAACAAAGTTAGAAGTGCCATAGCCCAAACCAAACAGTTTTCCTTTGCTGATATTACCGTTCTAGAGGAAAAGTCATATAATAATTCTCTTTTCTTTAGAGATAGGGGAAAGAATCTCTCTCTCTAGTCAAAGAAGGCTTTTTAAGCTGCAGCACCTGTACTTTTTTAAGATTGAGCTCAACTATGGTCTCTATGACAATAGGCACTGGATCATGATTCAGAAAATATTTTCTGGTATAACACTCATGACAACAGCACTGAAGTTATTAAATGTGTTATTAGTGTCTCTGAATGGAATCGTTCACTGGTTTTAAGGCACTGTGAGGCTGCATGTCCGAGAAGAAATTTCTTCTCGGACAAAGTGCAATAGCCAAAGAGCTCTCAGCTTTGCGTCTCACCTGGCTGCTTATCCCAGTGGCAATGTCTCCCACCTTTGTCCTGTGGAAATCTCTGATGTGCAGATTTTCTCCGCTTAGCAACTGAATCTGGATTTTTACTCCTGAAATGTGCAAGAGAAGTCAGTAATTTCTGCTGTAAGTACAATGACTTCACAGTGCAACACATAAAAATTGCCTGGTAAGATACAGGCATCAGAAGAACTGTTTTTTGTCATCAAGCATTTCATGTATGTATTCCTTGGCCAAGCATGGAGGTCTGCTGAAGACAACAATGACTCACAGAGCAGGGCTGGATTTAGAAAGAAAGCAGCTGAAGAGACATATTGATTAGTGAACCATGCCCTTAAAACTATTCTGTAGAAGTTTACGGTCATAAAGGATATATTTCTACACAAGGCAAGGCATAGAGCTGAATCGCTCTGGGTTCAGGAGCTTCTTTGGCTCTTACTGCATTCTACAGGCTTGTATAATCTACAACTGGGGCAGACTTGGCATCTTGCCAACCCAAGTGCTTTTAGCAGGGTCTGTACTGACAAAGTAACTAAAGGGGAAGAAGAGCTCCAACACTCAATATCTAGAGGGGGTAGGATATGGAGAAAGCTGTACCCGATCGTTTATCCAGTCCTTCGAAAGACAGACTCACCATTGAAATAGCTGGGAGTGTCCGTGTGTCGACTGCGATTCAGCAGGTTGTTCCAACTGAAACTCTGTCCGTCTGTCTGGCTGTTCCAGGAATGAATCCCAGAGCTCATGGTGTCCCTCAAGCTATGAGAAGCCTTCAGGGAGTTCTGCAGAAGTAAGCACAAATCTGTCAAAGGCTCCTAAAGAAAATGAGCTTGCATGAGATAATAAATGGGAAACCGATATGCCAAGAAGAAAAGAGCAGAAATCCACGTGGATCTAGGCTGGGACTTGAGTTATTCAACATTTACCTGCCATCTATAAAAGGCGATGAATAGCAATATAACACTTTGTAGAAGCAGAAACTTATTCGCAATAGTCAAATCAAGAATTGAGTGGAAGGGGGGGAAAAAAAGGAAGTGGCAGAAGAATAAAGCATCAGAGAAAATTTTAACGTCAACAAGTGACATGTAACACAGGCAGGAGAAAACAGTTAACCATACATAAACAACCAGGGACTCTAAACTGCTGTACTACTTGGGAAAGCCTATACTATCCAAGAGCCACAGAAGCATTACAGAGCTGAGAAGAGGAACAGAAATAGGAAACAAAGATGATCACAATATAAAATGACTCCCATAGGTAGCAGATTACACAATTTAGCACTTTACATCTTCGAAAATAAGGACTGAAGGGTTTAAAATCAAATTACGTCCTTCCCTTGTTCAACAAGGTCTATTCACTATTTCTCATTGGTATTGTCTAGCTTATAAACACCAGCTTTAAGGCAAACAAAATCAATTAAACTTTGTATGTAAGAAACAAACTGTTAGGTCATAAGCATGAAAGGTTTAAAACAAGTTCACGGAGGACAGAACCATAGGCTGGTAGAGGATGTTCAAGAGGAGAATGTTCAAGAGGAATGTTTTGCTGTA